GCCCTATTTTAAAGGTCTAGACTATTTTGCCACATCAAAAAGTTGGAGCGACGTTCTGCTTTCAGCTGTTGTTGACATTCCTCTGCAACTATTTTTCGATAGCAGTGTCTGCTTACTTTTTGTTTGTTGGAAAATTAATGTGGATCATTTCCAGAGTATTTTTGTTCTAGTTTTAGTTTCTACATTTTCCGGATGTCTGGAACGCCTTTACTTTCTGGAACCCGATCTAAACAGATTTTCTTATTTTCGAACAAAAAAGTAATATATTTTTCTATGTCTCAAGAAAAACGCTTTTTTTCTTTCACAAGTTTAGTTTGTAAGCGTTTGGACATAAATCTCAAACGGAGGATGAGAAGTAGGCAAGATTCTTCCACTTTTTGAAACTTTAAGCTACAATTGATTTTTCTTTTTCTTGTTCTTCATATGCTTGTACAGTTGCATCTCCATGTTCATTTCCGTTCGGATCATAAAACAAATAAATATAGCATTCTTAGAGTACACTAGTCAAAGCTGGTTTGAAAAAACCAATCGGTACCCCTCAAAACCTTGTAGGGATTTTTTTTTTCGACTTTAAGATCAAAAATCATTTGCTTCCCGGATTCCAGAAAATATTAGATTATTCTGGCCTGTACCCTATGAAGTCCGTCTTGTAATGAGGGTATCCCGGAATTAAAATTTGAATTTAATTGTTCCGGAAAGAATCAGCGTCAGCACTCCGGCAGGTAAAGAACCAGCAACTGCCCGCATACAAATTTCAGGAACAAAAAAAATTAGAGCCTAGCCCAGGACTGCGTCAAACGATGAGACTTAGCCTATTCTGTCATCCCGAAAGAAATTACGTAAGTGTTTACCAGTGCACGCCAGTTCCTCTTAATACATAGCGCGGGTGTTTGCTTTTTTGTGTTATATATGGAAAATAAATGTTAGGAAGGTCCGAGAAGGTAGTGGGTGACTCTGAGCCGCTCATTAGCCCGGCCTTCTAAGAATGCAGAAATGCAGAACTCAGGTGATGGTAAGACAATGCTGAGCTTTGTTGGCGCTTCTCCAGATGCGAATGTTCTGCACGCCGCGAGAACCAAGAAGAGGGAGAAGAAGTGGACTGGATATGGAAGTTGTTTGGCTGCTAAAGGAAATTCAATCTTAACGAGAAGAGACAGAATTACTGTGCAGTTGTTGACGCCTTACATTTAGCATACTCTTGGCGCTAAGTAGTTGGTGATTTTGTGTTCTTGCGTGCTGTTGTATGGTGGTGTAGCCCGTTAAGGAGGCGAGATGTTTTGAACGCTTTGGTTGGAACCTATCGTCTGTTTCTGAGCGGAAGTTTGCTATTACGTATGAAGAAGTATGGGTACTATTGGTTTCTGGTTTTGTTTATTGGATTACTTGTAGGTATTTTTTATTTTAAAAAATGCACTCGGTATAAATGAGTTGTGTTTTGAGTCTTTTGAGCTTTTTGGGTCGTTTTTTTTATGAGGATGGTTGGCTTTCGAGGAGTAAAAAAAAAAGTCTTTTTGCGGACATTTAATGAAGATAATTTGTAGCGTATCTAGAAGCTGTTTTCGTATAGATGTATTTTTCTTGTTTTCTGATCTAAAGTCCGGATGCGCTGCGCATAGTATGTAGTTTTTTCTCTCTCTGTCAGACATGTGCTTTTCCAAAGATCTGAACCCAAACATGAACGTTAGTGGACAGGCCAATTATTATAGAAGAAGTAGTAAATAGTGCAGTAGCTTATTGATCCTTTAAATTCTTCGATATTTAATGTTGGTGTATGGCAGACTTTTCTTTAGCACAATGTCAGTAGTTAAAATATTTCTATCACTTCATTGCTTTTCTGTAGAGGTTGCTGGAATCAAATAGCAGGCTGCTCGACTGTGTTGGTTTTATTAGGGTCACGGATCGCTTTTTTATACAACGTTTCTTCTGTTTCTTTGCTCTGGTTTTTATGTCTTTAAGAGCTTGTATGAGTTTCTCGCGTTATTTGCTTGATGGGGTTCAATACCAAAAACTCTTTCCTAAACGCTTCTTGAGAAACGAACCAGCGCAAAAAAAGGACGCGTATTTTGAAAAATCGATCCACAGCTCTCGATCAAACTAGTAGAATTGCGTAGTCCGTCACTTAGAGCTTTCTGACGAGTACGGGCTGGATCCTAAACGGATGTCTTTGATGAACGAAAAAAATTTTTAGGAACTGCAGTAGAGTATTATAAGAAATGCGGATTGGCTCAAAAAAAGTAACATGTAATTCAAATATGATAAACAACTTCAAACAAAACTAAAAGTTCAGTTGCTTGCTCGTGGAGCATTCTATTTACTGCGGGGTTGTTCTAGAATGTGCATCCTGATGACATGAAAACTGTTTTGAATTTATAGTGAAAACGTAGGACTTCTCCAGCTGAGGCACATTTCCTTCTGTGGGATTTTGAGCGGTAGTTTGGAAATAAAAGAGCTGTTGTTAAAATGGTGGCAGCTACGTTTTAGAACTTTTCAATTTGTTGATTGCACGTCATAAGTTTGTGAAAGTCATTTGATATTGAAGCTATTTATCTGCATTAAAAATGCACCTCGCAATAAACAAATTTAAATGCTAGCTTCCGGCCACTCTCAGCTAAAATTGCTTATTCTTTTTCAGCTTTCGTAACGCAGTACTCTGGCGGACCGTCAGGTGGGTCATTAATACTTGTCATTTACCTTAGTTCTGGTGCAGATTAGCATCAATTTCGAAAGATTTATTTTTAGTCTTTTTACTGAAATGTAAATTAGATTTCACTTTTTTGGTCTGACCATCATTTTGGGGGGTGTTTCAATAAGATTTGGGTTTTCGGTACTTGGTAGTTGCAAATGGTACTTTTATCGATAGTCGGTTAATTCCTAGTACTTTTTTTGGAGTTTTTCAAAGCTTTTCTGCTGCATATTTTTTGGGGGGATTACTGTGTTTTCGGAGCATTGGTTGTGTTGTTTGTATCCTCGACAACAGTAGAAGTTCGGAAATGGGATTTTACGCTGCAAAAAATGAAGATCTCCTATTTTTTTCCCTTCAACCGTTACTTTGGTAACATTTACCCGCATTTGATGCTGGCTTCATCTGATTAGAGCTGTTAAGAGTGTTACTTTAAAATGTTATTTTTTTGCCTTTCTTTGAAGTAACTGTCTCCTTTTATGCGGGCATACCTAGAATTTTCTTCATTTTTATTTAAGGACGGGACGTAGGTTTATCTCGGTCATGAATCATCATCATTAATACCTAATTAATTTGATGGTATTAAATTGATATGCTTTCCATGCTGTTCCAGTGAGAATTAACCACAGCAGTTGCAAGGTATTTTTTCCTAGAAGTTAACAACTGTGAGATTTATTAATTCTGGGTAGGTAGAGTGGGGTCAGACGATTGAAATTGAGTCAATGACTGCGTGGAACAAGAGTAATTTGTTTGCAAAAGCATTAGGTTTTCAACTTTTGCGCTGAAGTAGTGTGTGCTACGGTAGATGTGGATCTCTGCGTTGAAAAAATTTTTTTAGACATTTCGATATTTTTTCCGATGTAATTGTAAAGAAGAATTAAACTATGTCAATTCAAGCGGTGAGGTTTGCACCTCAGTCCGCAGGCGGTGCTTTAATTCAAGAACAAGCCGCTTCATCAACGCCAAACGCGACAGGTTTGCCTTTTAGAACTTTTGTAGACAATCGTTGTAATATTAGGTTAATAGCTTGGTTGCTAGACTTGTTTTGTTTACATTCGGAAATTCGGCGGGCGAATCAGAATTATCATCTCGTTTCATATTGTTTCTCAATGTCAGTGTGTCAAAAACTCACGGTAGCGATGTCGAAGTTGTGTAAATGCCTTTTATGCAATGCACTTGCAGTTTCAAGTGTCGAGTTCTTATAGTACATTTATGCCTTCAAAACTTCATTTCTGCTCATGAATTTTTTTTGTATTGATTGAAATTGACGGCACAGTTAGCGGAATTGCTAAAGCCATGGGTGTTTAAATTTTGGAGGCCCGTAGTTAAAACATGTGTAGAAGAAGGGTTTCCCAGCTTAACACAGGATTCCACAGATGACAAGGAAAATTCTTTTGCTGTGGAAATAAGAGAAGCGAGGTCTTTTCTTTTTTAGAGAGTAGTTTTTTTCCATATAACTTTCTATAATTTGTTATATACGGGGATTTGGGGCCATTGTATTCCTTTTAGCAGTTTTGCAACCGTTACTTGAGACGACAAATATGCATAACGACTCCAAAGGACGGATTTTAAGTAAAGTGTCTGATAGCCTACTTTTTAGAAGGAAGTATTTTGAAGGTTCAAGTGGACGGTCTGAAGGGATTTGAAAAGCACTCTTACCATTTAGTTTCACAAATGAAGGATGGAATTTTCTGGTGGTTTTTTTGCTAGGTTTCTGGTGTAGGGAATATTGGGTTGCCGGTTTTGAAGTTGAAGTTAATTTTGAAGGTTTTACATTTAAATTCGTCCGATTCCCTTTCCAGAAAGTTTTTTAATTTTAGATGTGGCTTGAATATTTTTGTTTATTTCCGTTCTTATTCGTTTCTCAGTTCAAGCCCATAGCCATTACAAGATGGGTGGAACTTGACACAAATTAGCTTTCATCTTCTTATCTATTGTGCTGTTGGTGCCGTTGTTCTAAGTTGTATTTAATGATGAGTTTTAGTAAGCGATGAGGGGAGAACGCAAGAAGAATTTGAGAAGCATAAGCTTGGTCATCGGCGCATTGATAAGCAGGGAGAGGTTGGATTGAATCCTTTTCTCATCTTTTATGTTTTTGAAGAGAATTTTTTCCAAAATAGAAGTTCAAATGTATTGATTCTTGGTGAAGCATTTGTTTGGAAAATTATTTTTGCTTTTAGGTTAGTTATAAACGGGTTCCAACGAATGCTTTAATGGGAGCTATACAATTAGGAATTGCTAATTCGATTGGTTCACTTGCTTCTAAACCTGTGAGAGATCTGCTGTTACAAGATTTTGCGGTGATTGAAACAGTTTCTTTTCCCTCGTAAGGCCTTAAGTTTATCTATATGCGCTTTATTATGCATTAAAGTGCGGTTTTCAGCCTGAATTTTTTCCTTCCAAAACTAATACAGATGATAGAAATTTCTTTTTTTACGACATTTTAGTAGCGGATCGCAGTTAACACCTTCACATGGATACGGAGACTTTCGTTTCCAGACATATGCTCCGGTTGCCTTTCGAACATTTCGAGGATTATTCAATATCAAAGCTGCAGATTTCCTGGTTTGAATTCAATGCGTTCTTTTGCGGAAAAGTTTTTATGATTTGTAATTTGAGAGTTAACGTGTAAACAGATTACTATATAAGTTAACATTATTTATAAAATTTCTGATTTTTCATACTTAGGATGTTTGAGAAATCTTAGCAGTCATCATTTTACGGTTCTAGTATTTGCTCGTTTAGCTTTTCGTTTACGCTACGGCTTTAGGTTTCTCAGTTTTTATTTCTCATTTCTCATCTTTAACTGCAAGTATTAACTCTGTTTAAACTAGTTAGGAACAAATTTTATGCACTACTTATTATTTACCATCATCAATTGCTAAGCTGTGTCGGTGTGCCAGATTTCTTGTACTTTTGCTTTTCATTCTTTACCAGTGACCAGCTACAGGAATAAAAATATTTAGCGCTCTATTTGCACCGAACCGTTAAAAGAATTATCGAATGCTGGGGCGTCAGGTTCAATTTTTTACGTATCCTCAGATGATCAGTTTATTATAAAGACTGTGCAGCATAAGGAAGCAGAATTCCTCCAAAAGTTGTTGCCTGGTTATTACATGGTTCGAATTTTTCCAATTCTGCTTTTAGTTTTTAATTTTTTGTTTGGAATAACAAAATAATTTGATTTAACTCGTTTCAGAATTTCAATCAAAATCCTCGCACTTTGTTACCGAAGTTTTTTGGTCTTTTCTGTTACCAGGTTAGGATTTTCTTCTAAAAGAGATAAATACCTACACAAAAATTTTCTAATTCTGTTATTTTTGAGTTTATTCCTGCCGACTTTGCCCAGTCGAAGTCAGTTCCAGTTCCTCCGTCGCGGAGGAGCAGGAACAGCCTCAAAAAATCTTGAAATCAGGTCAGAAAAAAATTCCTTCTGATGTATCTCTGTTATATAAGAGTGTCTCTCGTAACTCATGGCCCTCTAATATTCTGCTTGTCGGAGGTTATACTTCAGTTTTTAATTTAGATATGATTGGTTCAGCCAACTAGCAAGATTCTGAAAATGAGATTAATGGTCAAAAGCTTGTAGACGGTATTGGAGATACGGCGTTTTGGT